ACAGCGCGCTGCTCCCTCGCCTCGCGCGCTCCTCGCCGCTCCGGAACACTGCAAGCACGGCCACCGGGAAGCGCGTCCACGAGCCGCGCGCCTCGCCGCGCGCGCCCACCGCCACCTGCACCGCTGCGGGGAGGGCGAGAGGGGGCGGGGTCAAGCGGGGCGGAGCCGTCAGGGGGCGGGCGGAGCGGAGGAACGCTGCGCGCCCGCGGTATGGGGAGGGGGGCACAGAAGGGACAGTCAACGCTGGGGTGGGGGTGGGCAACGAGAGGCCACCGGGCGCTGACAGGGCGGGGCCAGCGACAGTGGGAGGCCCAGGGAGGGAAAGGGCAAGGTGAGAAGGTGAGGGTAGGAGGCCTACCGTAGTCCTTCCTGCAGAATTTCTTCAAGCTGATGCGGTAACTACCCCGGGCTGGTTTGCAGTGCGCGTCGCAGTCTGGAGGGCGTGTGGAGGCTGGCACAGAACAATCCCCACCTCCCTACCCCACCCTTTCCACCTCCCCTCCTTGAACCCATAGCCTTCCCCCCACAGTCATGCCAGTCTGGGATCTGGTTCTGTGTCCACTCACCCTGGGGCTCCACAGGGCTGCTCTCCTCAGTGGGTCCAGGGACAGGAATCTCTGCGGACAGGACAAGAGAACGGCCTGCACTGGAGGGGGAGCATTTGCAGGGCTCAGGGGATGAGCAGGTAGCAGCAGGGAGCTGGTGTGGCCTCGGCTGAGGTGGCTGAAGGAGGGCAGGGTCACTCACTAACACAGGGGGCCACCGGAGAGCGGCTCTGCTGGAAGCCAGGGGCGCAGCGATTGCAGGTGAGGCCAGTGACGCCATCCTTGCAGGGACACTGGCCTGTGGTCTGGTTGCAGGTCTTGCCAGCGGCACCAACAGGGTGACAGTCACATGCTGAGGACAGAGTCAGGATGGTTAGAAGCCCACGTGGGGATGCAGGGAGCAAGAAGGTGAGGATGTGCAGGGAGCTGGTGGCAGGCTCACCCCTGCAAGCGCGGCGGTCGCTCAGGGCACGCCCTGGGTCGCGATAGAAGCCCTCCCTGCAGTAGTGGCAGTGGCGGCCAGCGGTATTGTGCCGGCAGTTGAGACAGACGCCACCACTACGACGGCCAGACAGTCGGTACAGCTCCATGTTGAAGCGGCAGCGGCGGGCATGGCCATTGCAGGAGCAAGCTGCAGGAAGGGATGGGTCAGGGGCAGGCTGGCCCGGTCCAAGATCCCCAGGCCACCCTCCAAGGCCTCACCAAGGCAGGCGTGGGCTTCCCGGGCCGTGGCCCGCTGCCATGGCCTGTCGCAGTAGAAGGGCTTGCAGCGGCCGCAGTCGGGGCCCTCGGTGCCATGCTGACAGTCGCAGATGAGGTGGCCCTGGGTGTCCAGCAGGCACCTTGAGGCATGCCCATTGCACTTGCAGCGCCCCCCCACCTGGAGCTCAGTAGCCGAGTAAGAGTAAGGGACCATGGCCATGGAGTCCCTGGTGTCCTCCAGCATGGCAGGCCTTGTGAGCACTACTCGAATGTCTGTGGCAGTCACCCAGTCTTGGAGCACTGGGCTGCTGTCCAGATCCAGGCCTGGTGGGCTTCCGTCCTGCACGCTGAAGGCCAGAAGGCCACCACCATCAGGCTGGACCTGGGGCTCAGGGAAGCACAGAGCTTCAGGCCCTGGGCCAGGTGGGCCATCCGCAGGGGCAGGCAGGCGGCCATAGTCCAGGCCACAGCGGGAGGAGAAGAAGCCCAGTGGGGCCCAGCTGCCGCCGTGATCCTGTGACTTGAGCAGGGCCACCGAGGCCGGGGGCGCCGAGCAGAAGCGCAAGCTCACGAACACCAGCTCAAAAGCCTTGCCCAGGGGCACTGTGAGGGTCACGTTGTGGGGCGCCTGTGTCAGTGAGTCGGAACGCCAGCACACAGGGCTGGTGGTGCTCCCTGCGGAGGTCAGGAGGGCGGCGGGGTGTGCCCGCTTCGGGTCCGAGGCATCACAGGCCCGCGTGGCCGGCCGGCCGCACGTGCTGGACGCCAGAACCTCGCGGCCCAAGGCGGCGTTCACCAGGCCGGGCACGCAGCCGCGGGGCGCGCCCCCGTCGTCATGGCAGGGGTCGGCGGGCGCTGGCGGCCCCAGGCTCAGCGCGGTCGAAAGCGTGCCCGCGGTCAGCAGCAGCCCCCAGGGCCAGCCGGGCATGGCCGGAGCCGCGGTGGATCAGCCAGCCCGCCGGGCCCCACGCCGCTGCCCTCGGGGAGAGAGAGCCCGGATCCGGGGCTCTGCCCGCTGGCCCGCAATGCCGAGCAATCCCGGGAGGCCCCAGCCGGGGCCAAGAGGTGGGAGCAGCCGCGGGCACGCCCCGGGCCAAGCGCAATAGCGGGGATGCTGGCGCGTCGTCCCGCCTGGCCTGGAGCGATGACAGGAGTCGCCCCCACTCCCGGCGCCTCCGCCCGCGGAGGCCCCACCCGTCGTCCGCCGCTGCACTCACCCACCGAGGGCCGGGTCGAGCAGGTCTCCCGGCCTCCCGGGAAGGGCCGAGGGCGGGCGGGGCCTGGGGCGCCCCGGCCGCCGCCTCCTCCCGGCTGTAGCGAAGGCGGGCGAGCTGTGCCAGGAGGGGGTGGGGGGCGCAGTAGGCGCAAGCCTGGGCCCAGCCGGGGGCGGGGCTGCTCGGGTCGGGAAGGAGGGAGGGGAGGGGAGGGGAGGGGGCCTCGTCGGCAGAGCCGGAATCAGAAGCAGATTCAGACACTGGCTGGGCCAGCGGGGGAGGGGGCTGGGAGGCCCGGGAGCCGGGGGAGGGGCCGGGGAGCCAGGAATGCGCTGGCGGGAGGGGTCTGGAAGGGGCGGCTCAGCCACGCAGCCCGTGGGGGACCACCCAGCAGGGTCCCCGGCCTGCATCGAGGCCCTGACTGCTCCTGGGGCTGTGCCACGTGCTGGGCGGGGGTCTGGCCGCCTCCTCCCTCAGGCCCATCTGGCAGGCTAAGCCCTGCATCTGAAGGCTGGTGCCCTGATGCTCCCCTGGGTCTCTACAGGGAACACTCAGGGCTGTAGCAGCCAAGCAGGGCTGGTGGTTATGGGATGTCCCCAAGCAGTGGTCTGCTCTAGTAGAAAAAAACCCCACAATTGGGACCAGGTCTGATTTTGAATCCAAGCTGCTCCAATTTCTGGCTCTGTGGTTCAGGCTCCTTAACCTGAGATTTATTTTTTTCATTGGACTGTTGCTCAACTTTGCTGAGCCATTGGTGGGGGGGTGGGGAGGGGACAGTTGATAAGCCGCAAAGGTATTGGACGCAGCCTGGGGCTCCACCGACTTGAGTCCCTCTTGCTTTATGTTCAGGAAGGATGTGTCCTCCGGGTCTGACTGGAGCTCGCCTAAGTAATGAAATTGGCATATCCAACCCAGATCAGGCCAAACCCTTGTCCCAAAGCATCTCTGGGTCTCTATCTAGTTGCATCACCAAGATGGGGCCAGTCCCCAGAGCTGGCAGGGAGAAAGCAGAAGCTGGAGTGGGGGAGAGCCTACTAATTAACAGGGCCCCATGGGGTTCAGGGTCTTGGTCAGCAGTCGAGGACCTCTGTGGAGGGTAGGGAGTGGAGTTTGGCCCATGGGGAGGGCCTGGTCACAGACAGCTCAGTGTCAGACCCCCTGAGCCTGGTCCACATACCAGCAGGTTTGGGTAGAGAAACTGAGGCAGGAACTCAGCTGGGCAGTCTGGGCACCAGCTGGGGATGAGGCAGCTGCAGCTGAGAGTGACCCAGCCAAGAGAGACCAGAACTGCTCTGGATAGACGCCACTTCCCCACAACCATTAAGCCCTTGATGGAGGGGCAGGGCAGCATCCCAGGAAGGGTCAGCTTCGTGCAGAGGGGGCAGGGACACGGGAACATGTCTGACCTGGGAGAAGTTGTGAGGTCTGAAGTTTCAGATGGGAGGCTGACTAGGCCAGGCCTGGCAGCTGATGGAGGATGCCACGTGGGTGTGTCTGGGTAGGCAGAGCTGCCTCTTGCAGCTGGGCCAGAGATACTGCAAGGACCCACAAGAAGAAGGTAGAGAGAAGCAGAATCTTCTTGCTGTTTAGGAGAGGAGGGACAGGAGGACACTGGAGCCTCCCAGGGGAAACCAAAGGAGAAGAGGATGGAGCAGCCAGGAAGACAGGGTGATGGGGCACCTGAAGTGACTAGCACCTTCTGGTCAGGCCCTCACAAATGTAAGGGTGGGGGGGTGAGGTGCAGGGGCTGATGAGATCATGGGAGACTTGGGGAGAATTGAGTCAGAGGGGCTGCTGGCCTCGCTCCCCTCGCCTTTGGCAGCAGCAGGGAGTCTGTGGGTCTCCTCTGCCCCACAGAGCAGGTGCCATGGCACCTAATCTCAACTTTGAGATGAAAAGACCATGCCCCTTACAACAGATAGCCGTGCATGAATGAGGGAGCTGACAGGGAGCCCAGTATGCTCCAGCACGAGTCAAGTTCAAAAACGGCATCTTCCCAACCACCCTCTTCAAGGTCCTTCTGATCATCAGCCTCAGCCTGGGATGAGCGGAGCCCTGGCAAGAGAGTACCGGCTGCAACAGATCCTTCTGGGACCGTTAGAAGCTAAGAGGTGACTAGCTGGCCACGGTGGGGAGAGATGCCCAGGCCCAACACAAGGGTTCCACAGAACCTGAGACGAGCCTCCAGGGAGGCCCTGGTTGTCTGGACTTCAAGACTCAGGAGGGAAGACAGGAAATTGGAAATCAGGGAGCAGCCTCCCCTCCAACCCTGTGTCAGACTTGCAGGCCTTGTCTGCAGCCCAGCCTCCTCAGGAGTTGGGGCTAAGGTCTGCAGAACATCTGGTGGTTTGTGGTGTGGGTGGAAGGAGGCCCCCAGGGCTCAGCCTGCTGCATGCACGAGTGTTCATCCGTTTTAGCAAGCAGGGAGCTCTGGGCCCAGAGGGCGGTGGTACTACCAGCTCCCCAGGGAAGAGGCTGCAGGCCGCCCGGCCTCTTCCCCCAGAACGGCCCCCTGCACACATTCTCTTCTGGCCCCTAGGATGGCCCTGGCAGATGGCCTGCTGAGAGTGAGGGAGGGCCTTCTCCCCAGGCCCCAGTCCAGGCTCATTGCACCTGTCCCCAGCCTCTGGGGCCTCTCACACCTCTCCGCTGGTCCTGCCCCATCCTGGCACCTTAGAAGAGACTCCGCCTCCCTGCCCCCACATGCACCTCATCAGCCCACTGCAGTCCTCCCACTCCCACCCCCAGTCACAGTGACAGCTGCTGGCTTTGGGGGAACCTATCTGGGGAGGAGGGGACCCAGGGGGCCAGACATTCCCAGGCCTCGGGCGGCTGGGGTCTTTCCCTTAAAAGGCAGACTGATCCAACACTCCTGGCCCAGCCCTGTTCCCTCCAGACGTTTGCAAGCCACCACTTGTACACATTTCACACAAACATTTATTGAGAGTCTATTATGCCGAGAGGGGCTTCCAACCCAGCAGGGAAGACAGACGGCTGGGGGAGGGGAGCACGGCAGGCTTCACCCCGAGGAGGGTGGCCCCTGCCGAGTCCGCGGCCATCCTGCACCCTGCGCTCCGGGCAGGGCCCCCGTGCCACGCAGGCCCTCTCTGTGGTCGCGACCGGCTCTGCGCGCCAAGCAGAACGCTGAAAAGCAACGTTGAGAGGAGTGGGGAGAGGAGAGTCCGAAGAGCAGAGGGAAATGGCTCGTAGCCCCCACCCCCTTGGCCTCCTAAGGGCTTAAGAAGGAACGGTCTGAGGAGGGGGCTTCCGCGTCCCACGCGCTGTGCTGTGCGCGCCCCGCGGGGGGCGAGGTCCGGAGGGAGGAGGCGTCCGGCTCCCGGTGATTTCGCTGGGGAGGGGGCCGCGCGCGCGCGGGCTCAGGACGTCCCCGGTTCCCGCGGCCCCGCGCGCCCAGCCCGCCGCTGCCGCCGACCGCGCCAGCACAGGAAGGCGGCGGCCAGGAGCCCGAGGCCCGCGCCCAGCGTGGTTAGCGCCACGCCTTGCTCCAGGTCCAGGTGGGGTCCGCGCAGCGAGAAGGTGATGGCCGTGGCGGCGGCGCCGGCCAGCAGGGTCACGGCGCCGAACGGCAGGACGCAGCGCGGCCAGGAGCCCCCCACGCCGCCAGTGGCCAAAAGCAGCGCGCGCAGGGCCCCGGGGG